CGGCCCCAGCTGGGCCTTGCTGATGTGCTGATCTGGTCCGGGTTCCTGAGGCCTTTGTTGTGCTGACACAGCCCCCGCCGCGCCCTTTGGAGAGGCTCTGTGTGGCTCAGGGCAGGCTCTCCGCTAAGCCCTTCAGCGCCTTCCTTTTAACACCTTGCACCTGTGGGACTTTCATGCTCAGCTGTGCAAACCGAGACGGGGGAAGCTCCCGCCATCCGTTCTGCGGAGGGAAAGTGGAGAGGCTGAAAGCTCCTAAGGAACGTCATTCATCCCTCCAAAATTCACTGCTTCGAAATGTCAAACACGGGGAGATGATCAAAGCCGAGGCAGGAAGAAATGAGGGGGGCCGTCCCCTCTGGAGCAGGTAATTGCCCTTTAAAGATCTCTGAGCCTGGCGGATGAGGAGGGGGGGGACCTCTCTGACTGGCCGCCTTTCCCATGGTGACCAGAAGGCCAGGTGTTGCAGGAGAGGGAGCAAACAGGAGCATGGCCCACCTCGTCCAGCATCCTGTTCTCGCAGTGCCCCCGCCACAGGTGCCCCATCTGGGAAACCCGGAAGCAGGACTCACGAACAAGAGCAACTCAGTTTCCAGCAACTGGTGCTCAGAAGCACTCCCCTTGTGGAGTCTTCCTCCCCGCTGTCGCTTCTGGACTCCAGCAGCCCCGTGAGATGCTTCCACTCCACAGACATCACAGAGTGCCGAGGCTGAAAGAGACCCCAGAGCCAGCTTGTCTAGAAGACCGGCTGCTGTCAAGTCAGGCCCTTCCTGGACCACAAGTGTGGGTGACTCCCCACGCCCCACTTCCCCTGAACTTGGCTAGCTCTCTCCTTTGGGCCTCTGCAGCCGGAGCTGCCTCGGTTGCATTGCCACTCCTTCACTTGCTGGTAGGGAGCCTGGTCCCTTCTCCCTCAGAGACCCTGCCTGCCCACCTGCGCCTTTCTCCAAAGGTGGAGCATCAAGCCCAGGCACAAAGCGCCCGCTCTCTGCCTCTCTGGCCACCTTTGCATGGGGTGCCTGTGGCAAAGCTGCCACCCCAAACACAGCATCTTTCTCCTCCTCCTCCTCCTCCTCCTGCTGCAGCCTGCCCTGCTTGCCTCCACATCCCCAGAGGCCCCTGCTGAACCCCTGTGGAGATGGTGCCCGTCCGATGACACTGGCAGGTAGATGAACCCGCTTTCTGATGGGGCTTAAGGAGTCCAGAAGTCCTTGGACAAGCACTCCCACCATCCCTGGCCACCCTGGAGAGTCAGTGTGGAGAATCCCGGTCAAAGTGAGCCAGTTGGGTCTCTGCCTCTGCCTGCCACCTTGGCCCTGGACCCTCCTGCCCATGGGTCTTTACAGCCAGGATGCCAGGTCTCTGCCCCAGAGGCCCTGGACAATGTCACAGAAGCCCCAGCCCAGCCACTTGGCCTCTGAGCTTCTTCCTGGCAGCTTGAGAAGGAGCTGCACCTTCCAGCTGCCAGCAGAGGGGATCTCGGTGGCGTCTGGAGCTGCCTCCTCGTTCCTCCCTTGTACCTCTCAAGATCTTTCCATGTTCTGCTTTGTGTTCCAGTAAGAAATGAAATGGTGAAGTTGCTAATAATGGCTCTAAGAGAAAATATGCTACATCTGTTATGGATAGCAGTACAAAATTAGCTACTCACACCTCTGACACCCAAGATGTCTTCACTTAAAATACCCGTTGGCTTCCTTTACATAACTTGCTGATTATATTTAAAAGAAATACAATTTTGCAATTACTCTTCTTTCTGGTGCGCATCATTTTCTTTTTATGTTTATATATTTCTCCTTCATTAGTGCAGACTGAAGGGTGATTAGATCCCTTCAAACATTTTACAGAGGTTAAACGTTGATTAAGATTTAATTATTACTGTAAATAGCTTGGAATGACATATGGTGCAAAAACCTGACATATGTGCATTTGAATAAATGAAGTGCTATTTCCCAGGATGCACCGGGAACTGTTTAACAGCTTTGCTGAAGGGTTATGTTGCACCTCATGTTAAGACTGCTTGGATGTTATATTTTGTTGGGTTTCTGCAGCTGAAAGCTAAGAACAGTTTTTCCAGTTTTTAAAAACATTGAATATTTTAAATACCTAAATTGTTTTGCACAATTTTTTGCTAATTTGTCTAACTAGGTTAAACATTTTCAAAAGCATTTAGGTTTTCCCATGTTAGGTTCCTAGTATTGTGTCAGGCTCGGCACCGGAGCCAACATACAGGACTTCCGATGTATTAAATTGAACTTATAAGCTGCATAAAATGTGTGGTCGCAAGATAAAAGTGCAAGCGAATCGTTTTTTGAGTGACGTGCTGCAGGACAGGAGGGTGAGATTCCGCCAGATAGCAAGAGGTGTGTGGCGTTTTTATAGATCCTTGAGAAGCACTTGGAAAACAGAGAGAGAATAATTTGCAGAGATGGAGAGAGAAGGAGGGAGGGAGGGGGAGAGAGAGAAAGAGAGAGAGAACTAGAGCGTGTTGGGGAAGAGACCCCTGCGATGTCTTCGCCCTGCTGTGGAGGCAGAATTGATGCAGTTTTTGAGAAATGTTCTCCAAGAAGTTCAAATGCGGGCCATTGTTTTCCTGGGTATTTTTACAGACCACCTCCCACCCAAATGGGGAGGAAAGGGATGCCCCTTCTTCACCTGGCTCTCACACCTGTGGGCATGGTCTCAAAGGGCCAAATTAGCAGATGCACTGCATCCCAGGCACATTAAGAGCACTCTTGGGACCCTGAGGTTCATTTGGGTACGACTTGGCCAAGAAGGTTGACAGACTGGAAAGGGGGATACGGAGAACCTGGGCGTGTCCAGCGCCCAGGGGTGGGGGGACAAATTTAAAAGTGGGGAGAGTGAGATGCACATATTTAAAAAAAACAGATATTTCAATGCAAAGCACGGGGGGGGGGGTTCTCCCAATTTTCTTTCTCCACCTCCCAACAAAGAATGCTGCTCTATCTGACTGGATGATTCATTGCTAATCTGCTCCGATGCTTTGACTTTCTTGTAATTTAATCCCGTGGTTTATCAACCTGCTCTCAGCTAAGAGGTTCTACAGATCCCTCCACACCTTGTTTTTGGAGATTATTTTTTTTTTTAAAAAGTGGAATGCTGCCAGTTTTACCTACCTCTCTGCTCAGCATCCTCCTCTGTTGTGCCCTTCCGATGCTCCATTGTTGGAGGGTCTCTGAGACAATTACCACTGTCCAAACCTCTCACGTCACCCCCCAGAACTCAGCCAAACCAAGACAGTGGTGTGTGCAGAGTGGCGTTTGGTGCCAGGCCAGGGGAAGGGGTCCTTTTGGCATCCGGGGAGGTGACAGAGGAGGCCCAGTCATGCGCAGCTGCCTCCTTGTGTTATTTGCTGAAGAGCTGCTGTCTTGCAAGGGGCTCTGCTATAATGCGGGTCTCGGGGAAAGCCTGCTGATAGTCCCAGATGGGAGGTTCAAATGGGCCATCTGCTCCTAGACAATCGCTGGGTAATTAGTTTGCCTGCAACTGGCGGGGCCTTTTTCACTGCAGAGTCAATGATGTCTAAGTTGTGCTTGCCTCTCGTGTTCCTCGCTTGAGGGTTGATGTGCCCACTTCTGGTCTCCTCCGCCAACCTTGGAGTGAGAGTTGTTCCCTTGCTTGCCCTGAATTCGCCAAGGGGCTGAGGGTTGCTTGACATCCTGGCTTCCACGCATCTCAAATGCCTGTCTCCACCTACTCATTTAAATGTTGGGCTGGCCTCTCGGGTGAGGAGGAATTCTGGGAGGTTCCAGCCTGGGAACCCGCGAGGGAAGCCTCAGAAGAGGAAGGCTCAGAGCCGGGGGGGTGGTGGTGGTGCTGGGACATGGAGGACAGGCCAGAGGAGGAAGCAGGGCAGAATGGTTGGGTGCTGAACAAGCAACAGGCTAGAGTGAGAGAGAGGCAGAAGAGGCAGAAGAGGCAGAAAGCACTGCAGACACAGGGCAGGCAGCTGAGAAGGAGGAGGTGGAGGTTGAAGCAGCAACAGATTCACAGTTGCTGGGCAGCCCTACTGTATTCAGCTCCCCTCCTTCCTTGTCTCTGCTGGGAGAGAGAGTGCTATGGGACTGGCGACACTAAATGCCCAACACCTGGTTGACACCACTTGGGTCTCTGCCACACCTGGCAGCCCTCCTCCACAATGGCTCTGCTCTGCCCCATGGCTGGAGGCAGCCGTGCTTCCAAATGCCATTTCTGGAAGCCATGGGACGGAGAGGGTTCTTGCGATCAGGTCCCGGTTGCAGGTGTTGGTTTCTGTGTGTTGCCACTGTTCAGTGCTGGAGTCACAAGACTGTGTTTTGCATTCCAGAGATTCCAGGCTGTTGGAAGTCTCACGGAAGACGGGAGACGGATGTGACGTTACTGGTTTCCTGTTCCTTTGTTTTTCAGTTGTTCTCTGCTCTCACAGAGAGAGCATGTATATTTATTTTCTGTCTGCGTAGTTAGCAAGAAAACCAAGCAATGTAGCTCAAACTTCTCGTCTCTTCCCTGTGCTGGGTACTCTGCGGAATGGGGAACGTGCTTGGAGTCTCATCAAAGGCTCAGGTCGTTAATTATTGCCGGAGGGCGATTCCGGAAGAGTTGGTCGGTCGAACGCAGATTCCGACTGCAGGATCCCCACAGGCATCTGTGGCCAGTTACAAGGAAGGAGATTCCGACTCAACATCACATAAAACTTATTAAGAGCCATTCAGCAGTGGGGTGGAAGGTGGTGGGGTCTCCTTCCTTGGGGGTTTTTAAGCAGAGGTTGGATGGCCATCTGTCATGGATGCTTCACTTGAGATTTCTGCCTTTCAGGGGGTTGGACTGAATGACCCTCAGGGGCCCTTACAACCCTACGATTCTGCGTTCTTGTTGGCCACTGCGAGAACAGGATGCTGGGCTGGATGGAGGGCCTTGGCCTCATCCAGCAGCCTCTATTCATGTTCCTGTGTGCTGATCTGCTCCTCCTGACCTGCCTATGTTTTCTCTCCCTCCCCCTTTGGCAGATTGAGACGTCGCGCCTGGAGCCCGAAATCGCCCGGGCCACCACCAGCGAGACCCTGGTCTACAACAAAGGGTTGTAAGCGGAAGCAGAGCTGCCGGGCCTGGGAGACGGAGAGGCATGGAAAGGAGAGCGAGGAAGACTACGGAGGGGGGAGGAGGAGGAGGAAGGGAGGATGACTAAGACAATAGAAGGAAAGAGCTGGAGAACCTCGTAGCATCTTCCCACCGCCAAGAGCCGAGCGTAAATTAACACTCTCAGAGACCGGCGTCTCACGTCGGTCGGAAAGATTAATATTTAAAGTTTTAAATTAGCGACAGTAACAGCACAAAGGAAGGAGCGCCAGGGAGGGAGGGAAGGAGCCGAGAGCCAACATCCTGAATCCTCAGCGGAGGGGACTGTCGTGGCCCCTTTCCGTGGCTCCGCTCGGCTCCCGTGCGAACATCGACCTCTCTTCTCCACGGCACTTTCACCTCCCAGTCTGAGGAGCTCAGCCTCCTCCGCTCCGTTCGGTTCTGCACAGCACTCAGCCCCCGGCGCATGACTTAGAAGAATTAGGTAGGTAGGGCGTCTTGATAATCGTACTCTTTCGATTCAGTGTCACTCTTGCACCAGTCGATGTGCACAGAATCAATCTTAGATCCGCAGCACTCGCTTTGATTCTAAACCAATAACGCAGCCAAGGTCGTAGCCAACACGCAGCACCCACGTCCCCCACCCACCCGTCCCCACTGGCCTGAGGACTGCCGCCACACTCCACCACATATCTCTCTCTCTCTCCAGTGGGCGAGCTCGCAAGTTAAATTTGCCCTGCTCTAATTGCAGCTGTCACTTGGTTAGTCGGAATGTGTGAAGCTCCTGTGGTGGGTCTCCGGATCGTGGCCTCTTCTCACCCTCCGGCAGGAGGTAGCAAAAGGCACTGTTTGAAGGTTGCACACTCCCCGGGATGGGGGGAGCTTTCTGGCTGGCTGCCAACTCCCTGCCCAGCCTCTTGGGTGCCCAATGCGCTGCCATCACGCAGGGCTCTGCCTACACAATGAGCTCGCCCGGCCTTCTTCCCCACTTGGCAGCGGTGGAGGTTCTTGGGGGCTTCCCTGCTTCTCCTGCTGCTTCAGCCCCAGATGCCCCGTGCAGTGCCCTAAAGGGAGGGCAGGCAGGGGGAAAGGCAGGGCAGATGTTCTTCCAGAGGCAAGAGGGAAGGTAGGTGGCAGCCATCAGAAGGGGGGGGGTCACTGGGTGGCCCAGAGGAGGGGACAAACTGCAAACGGGCTTCTCTGCTGGAGAGGGAAACAAACTTGGCTGGAATAATAACCCTAGTGAAGAACTTTCTGGAGGTGAGCATCGTTTAACAGTGGAACAGACTCCCTTGGACGCTCCTTCCTTGGAGGTTTTTAAGCAGGGGTTCTGAGATTCCTGCATTGCAAGGGGTCGGACTAGTTGAGCCTTGAGGTCCCTCCCAATTCTGCAATTCTATGATTCTAATATGGCGGAACTAAGCCCAGGGTTTCCATTGGCAGCGCTCCGTAGATTTGCACCACCAGAGAGAACCTTGTGACCCCAGGCACAGGGTGCCAGTCTGCAGTGTTTGGCCCAAAGGAGGCCGCAAGTGGTGGAGGGGTCTGCCCCTCCTGGTGCATATCATTCCCAAGCTGCGGGGCCTGCTTTGACCCCTGGAAAGGGTTGGGAAGCAGGGAGGAAAGGTTTGTGTGCAAGGAAGTGGAAGGAAGGAAGGACTGATGCTCTCGCTGCTCGCCTTCAGGACTCTGCATTAGAGGAAGAGGAATATACAGTGGTACCTCGGGTTAAGAACTTAATTCGTTCTGGAGGTCCATTCTTAACCTGAAGCTGTTCTTAACCCGAGGTACTATTTCTGGGTTAGTGGAGTCTGTAACCTGAAGTGTCTGTAACCCGAGGTACCACTGTACAATCATACCTTGGGTTGAATGTGCTTCAGGTTGAGTGCTTTCAGGTTGCACTCTGCGGCAACGGTTTCGCTGCTTGCACATGCGCATACGCTCAAAATCATGTCACATGCATGCACGGAAGCAGCAAAACGCGGCACGCGCAGATGCGCCATCATGTCTTACGTTCTATTCAGGATGCGAACGGGGCTCCGGAACAGATCCCGTTTGCATCCCGAGGTACCACTGTATTAGATTTTGCACCATGGAAGAGGCAGCGCACACAGCCAAACAGACACTGAGATGGGAGTTCAGTGGGTGCGCACACACTGTGTGATGAGCAGTCGCCTGGGGGGCTCCCCCCCCCCCACCGCTGGAGAGGGTGCCAGGTCACCCAACCCCTGCCAGGGACCTCCTCTGCTGCTGTGCAGCCAATTCCCTCGCTCTTCCTAGATTCCTTGAAGTTTGAACCCCATGCCTGGTTCCTAGGAGGAAGGAGGAAGGGGCACTCACAGCCCCTCTGTGGGGTTGGGCCAGGTGGCCCCGAGGATCCCTTCCAACTCTGCAACCCTGTGGCTCTCTATGTGCCTCGCAGGTGAGCACCACGGGGCGCTAGTCTGGGAGAGGAACGAATCTGGGGGTCTCTTTCAGATTCCTTGTTTCAAAAGCATCAAGGGGGTCAGATTGCTTGGCTTCCAGGGCGGGCTGGGGAAGCAGCCGCCTTTCGTCAAGAGATATCAGCCATTTCAGGGAGCCTCAGTCTCAGGTGACCAAAACAGGGGTGTGGCTTGTGAGTCATGCAGAGGATGGCGCACAGATCCTCAAAATAGCTCACTTTTACAGAGAGTAGGGAACCCTTTCCTGGATATGTCTGCAGGTCTGAAGACCTCCGAGCACTTTAGAAGTGAGCCTGCGGCAGCTGGGAATCCTGCCTGTGGGTTTGGCCACTGTGAGAACAGGAGGCTAGACTAGATGAGCCTTTGGCCTGATCCTGCAATCTCTTCTTAGGCTCCTTCGTAACGCCGTAAAATTCAAAACAATTGCAATTAGCTGCACATTTATTCGAAATCTAATTAAAACTACTTAGCTTAATTAATTCAGCAAAGCAGATGAACTTGATCCAGTGATACCAGCTTTTCAAAGCCTCATAATCATTCACACCTCCAGTGCCCCCATTCTGCCCCCCTTACCTCTTAGCAGCCCCCCCCCAAGGCATCCCACTGCCCCAGGAGGTAGGAGCACCCATTTTGGAAGGGCTGAGCCAGATGTTAATATGCTTTGAAATCTCAAGAGGTTCCAACGTGGGGTTGAAATGCAGGAAGTCCTAGAATGGTGGAGTTGGAAGGGACCCCAAGGGACATCTAGTCGAACCCCTGCAATGCAGGCATCACAGATACATAGGTTTTTGTCCTAGGCAAATCCCCTGCTGCCCTCCCAGCCTGCCTCCATGGGGTGCTGTCAGGAGGGAGGCCTTGAAATCCCCTAGGATCAGAGGGATCTGCCTTCCACCGAATGAGGCCATTGGTCCCTTGAGCTCAGAGTTGCCTGCTCTGCACTGACTGGCAGAGGGAATGAACCCAGGACCAACCTAGGTCCCTTCCTGTCTCCCACCCATCCGAATGGTGAAGTCTCAGGCGCTTCTTGAAAGGGGCACCTGTGAATCCCACGGCTCTCATTGGAAGGGACCCCTTCCTGACAAGTGTTTTCTGCTGTCAAGTAGCCCCCTTTCCCCTGCTGGCCCCCTAGGCCAGAGGAGGCCCTGATCCTGCCTCATCTGGCCCCCTTCCTGCGTTCATGGGCCGGGAGCAAGGGCTGTTTCACTCCCCCTTCCCTCTTGGAGAGCTAGCAAACTTCCGCTTCCCGCAGCCGGGGCACCGAGCGAAGCCTGAGCAAAAGCCCGCAGCCGTCCGCCTAAAGGCTAATTAATTTTTCCGCCTCCCCAAAGGTACAAAGGGGAGCCTGTGATCTTGGGACGGCGTAGGCGGCGTTTGGTGTTTTATCATTTCCCATAATTGGGGAGACGGGGGAGGGGCAGGAGCCCCCGCCAGGGTGGGTTGCTCACCTCCGCAGCCCGTAATAATGAGATGATCATCCCTCTTAGCTTTTAATTAGAACCGAGCAGCTAATTGATTTCTTGGGTATGTTAATTAAGAAATAATGAGGACGGCATTGCAGCAGGAAGAGGCGGCAAAGGGTTGGGTGTTGGGTGAAGGAGGAGGAGGAGGAGAGGCCGGCGAGGGTCCCAGGGGTGTCCCAAAAAACCTTTGCCATCCCAGCTTAAGTGAGTTAGATGTGCCAAATTGCAAGGAAGGAGATTCCGACTAAACACCAGGAAGAACTTTCTGAGGGCAAGAGCTCTTTGACTGGGGGACAGACTCCCTCAGAAGGAGACGGCCTCTTTAAGCAGAGGTTGGGGGGCCACCTGCCAGGGATGCTTTTGCCGAGATTCCTTCATTGCAGGGGGTTGGACTAGAGGACCCTTGAGGTCCCCTCAACTCTTATGTTTCTATGAAAGGAGCGTCCAACTAAGCAGTAGGAATAACTTTCTGACGATAAAGGCCGTTCAACAGTGGAGCAGACCCTCCTTGGAAGATGGTGGACTCTCCTTCGGGGGAGACCAGATGGCCCTTGCGACAAACACACCGCAACTCTACTGCTCCTTGATTCTATTATCCACGTCCAGGAGGAGATCTGTGGGGTGAGGCTTCCCCTCTCGCCCACACTCCCTCCCACGAAGGCCCCCCACCTGGTGAAGGGAGGTTGACCTACAGCCTGTTCTCTCCGGAGGCTGTGCGTGGGCAGGATGTGTGCGGAGAAGCCAGCCCTCTCCCCAGCCAGAATATCTGCCTGCCTGCCCCCTCTGGGGGGGGGGGTCCTTTGCCCAGGGCTCCATCCTCCACCTGGGGGGAGGCCCAGGCCAGTCTCCCCAGAGCTGACTTCTTGGCATCTTGCAGGGGAGCCCAAGGGTGGGGTGGAGGCTAGCCTGCAGGAATGGTGCTGAGCATCATGCGCACCCCCTTCTGCTATGGAAGTGTATTTGGGCAGCAGCGGAGGGGGCACCCCCTTGTGAATATTCACCTGGGGCCTTGGACGCAGCAGCTCTCGCCTCCTTCCTGGAGGAATCCCTTTCCTTGACCCATTCAGGTACCATTTGGCATGGAACCAAAACGTAACCTTTTCGTTTGAAAGAAACAAAAACCCATTTATCATGGGATTGCATGAAAAGGGGAGCCGAGAGGCAGCCCCAGAATGCCTGTGTAAGTTCTGACTGCCCCCAAAGGGCCATTAATCTCAGGGTTATGCAGGAGCCGCGGGTCCAGAATCGGGGGCGGGGGGGGGGGGAGGGACAAGTTCTTCCTTCCTTTCCCACCCATTGAATTCTTTTCCTGGAGCTCATCGCGAAGCCGTATGCCAGAGGGCTTGGGAGTGGGGGCGTCTCAAACACCCCCTTGGCTTGTGGCCCTTTCCCTGCATTGCCCATTCCTGGCCACAATGTTCTCAGGAACATGGCGCATGGGTGCTGGCAGCCCTTGGGGAGCAGCTCATGCGCAGGAGAGGACCACGGCTCTGGCAGGAGCCCAGCCATCAAACGGAGCGGCCAGGCAGGTCCCACCGATGTCAGAGGGGGCGCGCCGTGGGCCTGGCTGGGCTCCGGCTGCAGCTCCCCAGTAGGCTTGGCTGGCCAGGCAGGGGCTGTGGTCAGAGTTCAGGGCAGCACTTGCGCCCAGGGCCTGAGCCTCCCTGGGCCTCGGCCCCCGGCTTCCTTCTGGGGGGCCTTAGGTGGTCCTCGGCACCCAGATTTGAATGCACCTTATTGCTCTCTCAAACTGCAAATTGTAACTCGGAGGAGGGTGAGGAGGCTCTTCTCTTCCTCGTCCTTCTCTGAACTCACTTCGTCTTCCAGCGACTACGATCACCTGACTGTCTGAGCGCAGATACCTCTGTCAATGCCAATCCACTTGGAAGTGTGCACAGTGTCTTTTTAACTTCCTCAATAGATTTATTGACCGTGACACTTTATGTAACACTTCTAAATGTCTGGAATAAAAATGACACAGCTAAGCGGCTCCTCTCCTGGTTGGTCTGTGGCTCTTCGCCCGCGGGTTGTGCGTGTGATGTGCCCACCTGGGCCAAAGTGGCCAGGGAAGTGCCTCTGGGAGGGTACTTGGCTCCCAGGACATTTCCGAGCACAATTCAAAGTGTTGGTGTGGACCTTGAAAGCCCTAAACGGCCTCAGTCCTGTATACCTGAAGGAGCGTCTCCACCCCCATCGTTCTGCCCGGACGCTGAGGTGCAGCGCCAAGGGCCTTCTGGCGGTTCCCTCCCTGTGAGAAGTGAAGTTACAGGGAACCAGGCAGAGGGCCTTCTCGGTGGTGGCACCTGCCCTGTGGAACGCCCTCCCACCAGATGTCAAGGAAATAAACCACTATCTGACTTTCAGAAGACATCTGAAGGCAGCCCTGTTTAGGGAAGCTTTTAATGTTTGACAGACTATTGTATTTTAATATTTTGTTGAAAGCCACCCAGAGTGGCTGGGGAAATCCAGCCAGATGGGTGGGGTATAAATAATAAATTATTATTATTATTATTATTATTATTATTATTATTATTATTATTATGGCTGCTTCCCCACCCCATGCCTTCGGCCACTGACCTAGATGGTTTTTCAAAGAGGCAAATGAGAGAAATTCACGGAGGAGACGGCTATCAATGCCCACTAGCCAGGATGGCTATGCTTAGCGCCAGTTGCTGGAAACCACCCGAAGGGAGAGGCCTCTGGTGCTCAGATTTGCTTACAGGCTTTTCATAGGAAGCATCTGGGTGGCCACTGTGAGATCAGGAGGCTGGATGATTTGGGGGCCCCTTGGCCTGATCCAGCAGGTTCGTCTTTATGCTCCGAGATTCATTGTACCACACCTGCAGGCAGGACCACCTGTGGCCTGCTGCTCCCTCTGCAAGCCTCACCTGCAGGG